AGAAATACACAATACAAGCAACGTGGTTTGTGTCCTTTTAATAAACACACTTGCGTAGTTATATTACAATTTGGTAAAAATAAAAACAGATGACCTCATGCCAAGCGTGCCTAGCATCCGCACAATCTCAATACCTTTAATACTATAGTTGTAAGACACACGCAATGAAAATTTAAGGCAAAAACAGCATTTCGCGACAATAACTTATTACAGCAGCATCATAGCAGCATCCAATAGTGCCACTTTAGGCAAAGTCTCTCAGTATTTCCATTACAGATTCTATGTACAAGAACTTATAACTTGGTAAAATTTATTCTAAGAAAACTTGGCAAATAAAGCTTTGGACTGGAATTGGCATTTCTTTCTCTACTTTTCCTTCCCCCACTTTCAAACTATCAGTATTCATGTTGTATTTTAAAAATAAAATAGCAGTTACATTTTTTAATAGTGGTATTATTTTTAAATGACTCCTTAAGATAAAGTTTTAGAGGAAACTATATAATGGGTGGGATTGATTTAAATATTCACATTTGCTAAAAAATCAGCTTTGGTTTTAGAACAGATTTTTTTCATCGCTGGAAAACCTATCAGGTTTAATCACATACTTTAAAAATGATTATCACAAAAAAAAATGATTATCACATACTACAATCTTTAAACAGGTTTTTTTTTTTTTTTTTTTTTTAAAACAAAGAGGTATTTGGATTCTTCCTATGGGGTTCAGATTTATTCCCATTTTAAAAAAATTCTGTGTTCCTGATAAACCCTTTCCTTCTAATGTTGCTTTCTAAGCCAACTGAAGGCCGCCTCTCATCCTGAATGAGGAAGAGATCAAACAACATGGCTGAACGGGAGGTACTGTGAAGGACTGACTGCATGCACTTCTAAGAAGGATTTAGGTTACTCTTACGTGTCATTCAATGTCCTTTACTTTTAGCTTTCTCTCAAATATATGGCAAAATACCTACCCAAAGAGTGGTATTTCAGGAAATACAGTAAACTTATCTTCCAGACCAACATCCAGCTTAAGTATGCCATTATGTGATTTGCTTTTAGTCCATGGGTACCTGATGAATGTATTATTTTTCATATTGGTTACAGATGCTAAGCTCTACCTGAATGTCATTCTTGATAACTTTTATTTATCAGGGTTACAATGAAGCAATTTGAGCTATAAAAATGCCCTTGAAATAATTTATCAGTGTATTAGATAAGCCCCAATTCAAAATTATAAAGAGAAAATGTTATATCAAATTGTGCGGCTAATTAACAGTGGTCTGATTTCCACTCTCAGGGTTTAAAATGGATTTAAAGTAACTGTCCTTAATCTGAAGCCAAAGAGAGCAAAAGCCGAAAGTTCAGAAAATAAAAGGCAAGACCAAGTAATCCGTACACTTTGGAAGATCAGTTGAATCCACAAGGACTCAGTCTTTGCACTGTCTCCTTTAGTGACTGCAGGCAAATCTGTTATCCCATGTGTAAAGTGTTGTTATTGCTTTCCTATTAATGTCGTATTTTATAAAAGTACCATGATGATGCCAAATGCTAAAAATTGAGGTGGTCTAATAACTAGAAACCCCTGCCCCAAGGAGCACACATACACATCATCATACATCCCAATAATGTTAAGCGTTTTGAAACACAGACCTCTGAACTTTATGTAAAGTTCTACCTAAACTGTTGATTCCTTCTCAAGAAAAGTTATGATTTAGGCAATGACTGAAATTATTCATTCACAATGTATAGGCACATTAACATAAATATTGCACAAAATATGCCTCTAACTGAAACTCAGAGATATAAAAACATATTTCACTCTTCTTAAAGAACTCTGTGAGGAAATAAGACTCTGTGATTGTATGTATACTTTTCCTGATAATACTCTGACATTCATAAACAGTAGATTGCACTGCAGTTTGTAAACATTTTAAATTGCATAAACTTGTCATTGATTTTCAAATACACTTTAATACTGCCTACTAAAACTCCTTTTTGTCTCAGCTAGGTACTCTCACATCATTTACTTATTTATAATAATGTTTATTATCTTTAAAGTGTTTTCCATTCAAAGAAAAGGAGTAAAATCCTATGCCAAAGTAGGCAATGTGTCTGAAGACAAGATATTAGCCAGAGAATTCTGGATGGTAAAATCAGTCTTCTAGCCTCAGAGCAGCTTCATGGACATAGAAGAATGCCCGCTCTCACACATCTTTCCTCCACTCAAATTCATTCCTGACTGAGCAGAGTCTGTATGCCTGCTTCAGGGGCTTTTAAACTCTTCAAGGATTCCTTATGATTTTTACTCAGTACATTAAGAAGAACATCAACGTGTGTTATTTTATGACCTGGGACAGGTAGTCACCTAATTAAAATAGGTATCATGAATTTTGACTTTAGAATGTATTCTAGATCTAAACGCTAAGCTAGGGAAGGTTTCCTATCTCACCACCAATGATGGGAGCCTTTCATTCCTCAAAAAGAATCCATTTTTAGGTCACCAGTAAAGAAGTAACAACTAACCACTATAGCATACGGTGCAGGATCTTCATTAGCCCAGAGCTCATGGACCCTACGGGAACCCCCACAGTACAGTGCCCGTTCGTGGGCGGCTGAGAGAGAGGAGACATAGCCCGCTCTGCACATCCTGCTGGGGTGGGCTGCTTTCCTCTTTTCTGAGAAAAGCTTCCCAGAAGTGTTATTGCTCCCACCCGGAAATGCACAGAAAATAGAGAAAAGGTTATTTCCAGTTCTTGGCCTTTAAACGAATTTAAATATTGGTACTCATGGTGGCATATTAGAAAGTAACAGAGTAAACAGTGCATATTTGGGAGCAAATCACATACTGAACCAGTTAAGAGCTCACTGTGATTAGGATTAGATCAAACGTAAGAGCAAAACATAAGCAAGTTTTATCTGAACTGTAATGAATATACATGTTGCAGTAACATTAGAAAAGCATGGCAGCCCATTCCAAACCAGTGAGAATAGTTTGTGCAAATAGTGGGTCTTTGTGTGTTTGAACTCCCACCATGTAAGGGCAAACTCAATATGCATGCTAATGACCTACAATTACCAAATTAAAAAAGAAGAAAAATGCTAAAGGATGCCAGAGTGAACAGCAGGGAAAGCCACACAAAGACCCACTATCCTTTAACTTGTTACAAATAAATTTTAACTGTAAATTAGAAACACAAAGAAATAATCACAAGTGGCTCTAACATTCAAACGAAGTTAATGAATTGTGTAGGAGATATTTGATCAGGGCTGCCTGCCCTGCCTCCACGCTAGAGTCAAACTTGGATAGTGGGTCTCTGGGGTGCTTTCACACTGGAAGACAACATTGGGTCCTATAAAAAGAAAAATGAGGAATAAAATGAACATAAAGCAAATTAAGTGGGTGAGAAAAAATTTGACTAATAACATGCAACATCAACTAATCTGAATTATTAAAATTCTCAAAACATCCTAATTACATAATAAAATGAAAATAGTAACTGTAAGGGCCCAAGAAACACCAATGGTAATCTAAAATTTAACTAGTTTTCACAGATGCATATATTCCCGGCTGTTCTTCCTTTAGAACAGCTTTTATCTGTTCTTTATATTCCTTATTATATAAGACTTAATTGGAAAAAAGTATTCCTCCATTGGAAAACAAGATAAATAACAACAACAACAAAGCACTTGGAAACCCGTCCCCTCACATCCTGGGCACTAGAAAAGCCAAATGTACTCCTGTACTGGGTGCCTCCAAGCTTCACTAGCCAAAGAGCTTCCAGACCCCAGAGGTCTGAGAAGTATCTTCCCCTCTCAGGGCCAGGGAAGGTCCCTCGGGTATGTCTAATTAATTAGATAAATGGGCAAGCTCTGGAAGCTGCCAACCATTAGCAGAGCTTCAAAACGGTCATCTAGGTAGCCCACATTTTTAGGGAATGTTCAAACCATAAAAAACTCAACTCCTCCCACATCCAAATTGGGACATTTAGTTGCTTTATCTAAAGGAAAGCCTTCTCCCAGGATCAGAACTATCTTTAGAGCTACAAGCTCTACAGTGAAAATAATGCACTAATACTTCAAAATGACAGATCTAGTATAAATTCATAATACTTGCACTGAATCATAAGCATATCTCAGCTTGACTGGGTTACATTTATATGTTCTCAGAAACTAAAATGAAAGGCTAAATATTTTAGATAATTTCACAATGATAAAAATATAAATCATGATGAATCATGATGTATTTTGTATAAAAGAAAACAAAAACAAAAGCAAAAGGGTGGGGAAAAGTGACATTTTATAAAAGTAAAAAGTATTTCCAAGTACTGTTTGTTCTCTAACTATTGTAAATGCATGTTTATTGTCAAATATAAGAAAGGCTAGGTAACTACTAAGAGAGAACTTTATATACCGTATTTCACACTGAGATCTGGATCCTTGTTCTAAAAATAGTGAAACAGATCTTGATTCACGTATCTCTTATGGCATTAGGTATCTTAAAAAAATCACCTAATAGAGTTTTGCAAACAGTTTAAACGGGTTTTTAATTTTCTGCTAACCTGGATGATGTGTAAATATGTGGATATTAAATGAGAAGGTTGCAAAATTAATAGCACCTGTACTCTCAAAGGGTAATTTGAGTAGGTGAATATGGTAATTACTGGCTGCTCTTTATTAAGCAGAAAAAGATCATTAGAGGTCAAAAAGGATGGCGGTAAAGGGAAGTTGAAGTATAGACTGCTCTTATACCCAAGAACCTGTAAAAGAGTTACACATTTTTTCAGATAAAGTCTAATAGTAAGGTCTAAAGCTAAGAAAAAAAGCATTTAAAGCAGTATAACTTTTGATTTTGTGAAAAATTTCTTTTTGCAATTTATTGCTTTCATCACTAATATATACTTGCTAAGAGTGCTGAGTTTAAGATAATGCTCTGGGACAGAATGAGTGCAGTGCTGCATATGAAAGCTTTGGCACTAGCTGAGAGGCAGTTTGATATTACTCACACTGTTGACTTGGATCGGAGTCTGTTGTCATCTTAACATAGTTTGAAGGAAAGAGACCAGTCACCCCGTTGATTTCTCCTTGCCACCAGTCAGGATCATCTTTGTTCAAAACATTGATAAGCTGTCCCTTGGAGAAATTCAGCTCATCCTCGTTATTTGCCCCATAGTCATACATGGCAATCACCTGACACACTACCAGAAAAAGAACAAAATAATTAATTATTCCTACAAAGGTCCCATGTTAAAACTGCCCTCAGATTTAAATTACTCTAACATCAAGTGTTAACATTAGGTTAAAATTTCCCTTGAGCTGCTCTCTCTCACCCTCCCTCCTGCATTCCTTACTTTACAAAACAAGAATCTCCCAGCTACAGTTAATCCACATGAACTATTGCATTTTTAAGTATGAGAGCAGAGCAATTCTGCTTTGAAAAGTTTGAAGCAATGAAGTGGTTCAAACTTGTATCACTGAACAGTTGGCTGTTTCTACACAAAACTTTTTAGAAAGGAAGTTCTCATTGTAACATTGCTTTTAGGCAGAGTTATAAAAAGAAACAATTTTTAATATTTTTCAAAGCATATGCTAATCTAAGAAGTTGCTGAGTTTCAACAAAACTTCTGGAAGCTGTAATGCAAGCTAACCCACAACCGTACCAGGATGAAAGGCAGGTGTAGTTCTTTCACTGCTTGGACCCAAAAGTTTAACGTGGCTGGCAGGAAACCATCCTTTCTGCCGCTTTTTTCCTCTGGCCTGTAAAATCAGCAAAAAGGATATGGAAGATGAGACTAAAAGCAATTATTGAGACATAAGTTTTTTTTAAAAAGTTGTGTAGTAAAGAATTTAGCCCTGTCCCCAAAAAGGTCTGGACTCTACCTTTGGCTCCTGGGAGGTAATCTCTAAACCTGTGTATGTCCTGACTGCTCAGTGTCTTATTTTCTCTGGGAACCTTGCCCAGGCCAGACAGTCTAACAATGTGACTTACAGTGGATGCTCTGGGTCACATATATGAACTCAACCTCCAGAGGGACTGGAGACTGAGTTTAGCCATATGGGCAGAACCATGTCTATGTGATGGGAGCCCCAGTAAAAACTCTGGACACCAAGGCTCGAATGAGCTTCTTTGCTTGGCAATACTTGGTATGTGTTGTTGCCAGGAGTTAGTGCTATCCATGACTCCACTGTAAGAGGACAATGAAAGCTCTGTTTTTGGAACTGTCTTGACATCAGCCCCATACATCTCTTCTCTTGGCTAATTTTAATCTAAATTATTTTGCTGTAATAAACTGTAACTATGAGAAGAACAGTTTCAGTGTCTTGTGAGTCTTTCTAGTTAATTACTGACTTGAGGGTGGTCTTGGGGACCTCCAAACTTACAACTGGTGTCAGACGTTAGGGTGGTCTTGGGGACTGCTGAATTCTGCACTGGCCTTCCAGGTCAGTATCAGACAATTGGAAGACTCAATATGCAAATCAAAGTGCTGCTACTGTAGAAGTCTACTAGGAGGCCTTCAGGGTTCAGAGTTCTCTGCATATTTCACACAAATAATATTTATAAACTCAAAAGACTCTTCTAGAATTCTCCTAGTAAGTTCAAGTCAACACGTAAAATGGTACAGTGCACAATGAACATCTCTTGGGGCTTTGTGAATATTAATACAGAGATCACAAATACAATTTGTGTAGAGCCATGTTTCCCATTTAGTTGGGTCAATCTTCAAAGCAAATCAGGAAGGTGGGATTTCAGGGGGTTATTCAAGATACTTTATTTTGAACCTCCACTGCTCTTTAGGAATTGTAGAAGGCTGATTTGCGAGAATGAAGCTGTGTTTATCCTCCATATTATAATCATATATCAATCTTACATAAAAATGTAGCTATTATACCTCTCATCATCTTTTAATCCTAAAATGCTTTTTAGTTTTTCTAGTAAGGAACTTTTAGGAGAAAAGAACTCTTTTTTCGTATCAAAACATAAGCAGTAACTGCCTCTGTTGACGTTTAAGGAAAAAACTAGGTTCATTTATGCCTTCATTTCCTTTCCTTGCACTGCTATTTCAAAAACGTAAGACTATGGTGGGGAAAGTCCAACAAGTAGCACTTTCTCAGTACACAGTCTGGATCATGTTTCTTTTCCTGGATAGAGGCTATACTGCAAGCCTGGGGTTATCCCAGGCAAAGGTGATGCTATGCTTTCCTTTAAGAAGGTGACCTGTGGTTTATTAAAGCAGGTATTACTGGAATACAATTACATCTGTAGAGAAAATTATTCTTCATATTGTTACTTATAATATCAGTTCAACTGTCCTAAAAACAAACAGGGAAAAGACTAGAGGGAAACATAATACATTAAAATTTTTTTTTTTTTTTTTTTTAAAGATTTTATTTATTTATTCATGAGAGACAGAGAGAGAGAGAGAGAGGCAGAGGGAGAAGCAGGCTCCCAAGGAGCAGGAAGCCCGACGCGGGACTCGATCCCAGGACCCTGAGATCATGACCTGAGCCGAAGGCAGACGCTTAACCATCTGAGCCACCCAGGCGCCCATACATTAAAATGTTAATATTGATTACCTCTAAGTGGTATTAGGTGGTCTAAAATTTTTGTTAATTTTATTTAATGAGCATGCATTACTTTTATAATGAAAACGATAATTGTTATTTCAAAGTTATTACCTGTAATTCCCCTTGCCACCACCCGCTCGAATTTTTCTTTAGGATTAATATTAACTGTCCTGGTGCAAGACTTAGTTGTTCAGAACCAGAAGCCACATATGCTGAAGTTACTTGAGCAATCTCTGAAAAGCAGACAGACAAGAAACTATGAATTCAAGACTATTAAACACTGTAGTAATTTTTCAACTTCATTATTATACATACCAGGTTTCTTGTTTGATGTTCCAGATTTGCTAGCACTCCCAAAACTCTGCAAGGAAAAGACATGCTGTTTTATTATTTTCTAATAATCCAGATGTAAGAGTACAAAGGTTATTAGGAATTAGAGATTTCTAATTCCCAGGATTGTTTCTTTGAATGAAGATCAAAATAACAATTAGCCTTATATTAACCAAGTACGTGAAGAATCCAACACCTAATTATGGGGAGATCTGGTCTACTAACAGACATTATATACAAGTGGTTGATGTTGGCATCCATTGATTCAACAAGAAAAGCTTATTTAATGCATCTTTCCTGACTATCAAACGTGACCAGATACCTCTCATTTATCACGTTAGCATCAATGCCCACCACATACAACATATCTTAAGGCATATATGAGTTTTACTCCTGTTGCCTAGGAGACAATGTTTTTAATTTTTTTGCATATTCCCCCTGAACCTAAGAACAAAAAAATCCATGCCCTGGGTAGCAAGTATAACCTCAGTCTGACTTTACAGGATAGTTGGGCCAACCACCTTTCTTCATTTCAGGAATTTGAACAAGTAAAGGGAAGGAACAGAACATTGTTTTCTGTGAGTGAACACAGCTCAAATGAAGCTGAACTGATGCTAGTCAAGGGCTAACGTTTTTTGAGTACTTACACAAGCCGTATTTAGTAACTACTATTTGTGTAACAGATGTGTGTTACAGCGTATGAATTTTACATATAGTCACTTAATTCTCACAGTAACACTATTAAGTATTATGATTATCTCCATGTTACAGAGAAGGAAACTGAGGTACAGAAAGGTGAAATAACTTGTCCAAGGCCTCTAAGTGTTGGAGCCAGAGGTCAACCTAGAGGGTTCTTACCATGTGGTCTGTGGATCCCTGGGGACAACCCTTGAGCCCCTTTCAGGGGCCCAGAAGACAAAGACCCTTTTCATTAACAGTATTAAGCCATTATTTGCCTCTTTCACTGTGTTGACATTTACACCGATGGGTAAAGTTGCTGATGCCTTAGCATGAGTCATCACAGTGGTGCCAAATTATACTCGCGGCCACAGCATTCTCCACAACCACATACTCACAGAACAAACAGAACCAGTTTCACTTAAGAATGTCCTTGATCAAGCAGTAAAAATGTTACGAAATCTTAATGAAATACGATCTTCTAAAAAGTTCTGCGTGATTAAATGGAAGCAAGCCTACAGCGTTTCTGCTGCATTCCGAAATAGCAAGATGGCTGTCTCAAAGAGAAGCACTTGTGTGATTAAACTGTGAGCTAAACTGGGTTCTTCAGGGAACATTTTTACTTGAAAGAACAACTGAAACACAAACTCTTCAGACTCGGGATTTGGCAGACATTTTCTCAAAGATCAAGTATGCCTGTCACATCAAGGAATACAGCTGACAGGACTTGTTGCCAATGATCAAATTCAAGATTTCAAGAGAAAATTGAAATTTTGGAAAACTTGTATCTACCACCATAAACTTGACAGTTTCAAAGTATTTGAAGATTTTCCTATGAGATCCGTAGTGATATTAACAAATAAAACTTTTTTTTTTTAAAAGATTTTATTTATTTATTTGACAGAGAGAGAGAGAGCGAGAGAGGGAACACAAGCAGGGGGAGTGGGAGAGGGAGAAGGAGAAGCAGGCTTCCCGCTGAGCAGGGAGCCCGACGTGGGGCTTGATCTCAGGACCCTGGGATCACAACCTGAGCTGAAGGCAGACGCTTAACCAACTGAGCCACCCAGGCATCCCCAATCCATGTATTTTTTTTTTTTTTTAAGATTTTATTTATTTATTTGAGAGAGAGAGAATGAGAGACAGAGAGCATGAGAGGGAGGAGGGTCAGAGGGAGAAGCAGGCTCCCTGCTGAGCAGGAAGCCCAACGCTGGCCCGATCCCGGGACTCCAGGATCATGACCTGAGCCGAAGGCAGCCGCTTAACTGACTGAGCCACCCAGGCATCCCCAATCCATGTATTTTTAAAAACTCTTTAGAATTCCCAATAATTTTTTTAAAAGATTTATTTATTTATTTGAGAGAGTGAGTGGCGGGGGAGGAGAGGGGAAAGAATCTCAAGCAGACTCCCTGCTGAGCTCAGAGCGCGATGATGCAGGGCTCGATCTCAAGACCCTGCTGAGATCATGACTTGAGATGAAATCAAGAGCTGGTTGCTCCACTGACTGAGCCACCCAGGTGCCCCTAGAATCCCCAGTCATTTTTAAGAATGTAAAAAGTTCCTGAAACCAAACAGGTTGAGCACCGCTGCGCTATACACTAGTGGCAGGATGAGAAGCAGCAGGAACTCAGAGTGTAGGGGGCGTCACATTAATGTCAAAGCTGTAAAGTTTTACAGACTCCTTCAAGGTGATCCCTTGGATCTGGGACTATTTCCTAGCTTCAGTTACCATGAGGCCCAGACCTACCTACAGCTCCTAGTCTTAGAAATTTCATGAAATCCTGTCCCTCTTATCTAACAGGATCCCTATAATAAACTCTATTTTATTGGTGCCACCTTCAGTGGTTTCCTTATAACCAAAGCCTGAACAAAACTGTATATACATGAGTCTCTGTTTTGACTATGAATCTTGATGGGGCGCCTGGGTGGCTCAGTCGGTTGAGCGTCTGCCTTCTGCTCAGATCCTGGGATCGAGCCCTGCTTGGCGGAGAGCCTGCTTCTCCCTCTCCCTCTGCCTGCTGCTCTGCCTACTTGTGCTCTCTCTCTCTCTGCCAAATAAAGAAATAAAATCTTTAAGTATGAATCTTGATATGCAAGAATGGAATCATTTTGTTTCTATACCAAAATAACTCTACCTCTTGATCTTTTGGTTTGACATAATTTGATGGAAAAATTCCAGTTCTATCTCCAATGCTTCCTGTCCACCACTCTCCATCTTTCTGGGTCACCAATATTTCTTCACCTTCAGTGAAAGTCAGGTCTCCAGGTTCCACACTTGAATATGAATAAAGTGCAATATACTCTGTAGGAAACAAAGCAAAAAGAAACTAATTTTGGTTGAAAGAAAAAATTATGTTAATCCCCAAACCTTGTGTAAATTAACTGTAAAAGACCTTGTAACTTAAGGAAACCTAATGTAAAAAGATCTTAAAACAGAAAAAAGAATGAGGCAATCATTTAATAATTTCTAGAGAAAGATTATTTAACATAAAGCTTTATCATAGGGTTTCTTCTTTTTCCCACTGTATCATCATCATCACCACCGTCTTATCACAGAGAATCCAAAATCACAAATAGGTATAAGTACCTCTATAGAGTCAAGATCTGAAAACATTTTTTCAACTTCCTTACACAAAATATATTTTAGTATGCTAAGTTATTTTTTAATTCTTTTATATATATAGTTACGGAAAAGCCCAATATTCAGCTGACATCAGTACCAGTGGCCAAGTTCTACCACAGTGACCCAGCTCCTAGTGCAGTGCTTGGTACAGAGCAGATGCTCAACACATACTGACTTTTTTGGGAAAATATATTGGCTTTGGTTTCCGTCCCTGTCATTACTGCTACTTAGAAAAAACACTCAATGACCTGGTTGTAGAAGTCTTTCTTTTCTAGTTATTTTTATTTGTCAACATGGAATTTCATCTGTACATCATAAACTAGAAAAGACTAGGAACACCATCTACAACCTATTTACTGTTCATGTTCCCAGTATTACTCAATTTAGGGTGATTTAACAAAACCAAAAATGCCTGCAAGGGTTAGGTATGCTGCAATAAGCAAGGTCGTCCCCAAACACTCCTTGCGCCCTTCCCAGACTCACTTCACAGCACTCATTCCACAGTGAACCGACAGTTCCAGCCTTGCTGGTGATCTGAGATCTCTAACCTCTCACAGCCATGCCCTGGCTCTTGACTTTCCCTCTGTCGACAAGAGTTTTCTCTTCCTTTGTCGCTATGTGAAACTCTACTCCTTGCTTAAGATGATTCAACACTGCCATGTCTGTGGATTCATAGGTCCTACTGAAAATTAAGTTCTATGTACTCATTATAGAATTTCTTACAATGGTATGCCTATACTCCCGGTCTACTGTGAGGACTTGGGAAACTGTGTTTTATTCATCCTTGTATTTTTCAGGCTTTAGCATAGAGTCTTTAACATAATAGATAGTGAATAAATGGTTTACTTTACCATTAAATTGATTTTCTCGAGCAATAATATAAACATAAAATGTACTTCTACTATTCAACTAATTTTACAATGGATGTATACAATTCATTTATAAAGCTATGTAAGTGTTAAATAAAAATGTCTGAAACTTAGGGTAGACAATCTTTCATTTTTTAGTACATTAAAATAAAAAATAAGTTATTAGTCAACCCAAAGGGCTATAGAAAAAAATTTCTTTGTAATAATTATGATAAAGTGTACCTTGATTTCAAATCCTACTTAATGATTTGTATGATACACTGTAATTAAAATGCAATTTGTAAATAACTAAATGTACTAAAATTGCCTTACCTCCTAAACCAGGAAAACAAAAACCTTCATGCCTTCTGTTTGCAACATTTTTTATTTATGATCTTATTTATTGAGTCTATGATGAATTTTTATAGTACTGCTTTTCTATACTTTTTTTTTTTAGATTTTATTTATCTGACAGAGAGAGACACAGCGAGAGAGGGAACACAAGCAAGGGGAGTGGGAGAGGGAGAATTAGGCTTCCCACTGAGCAGGTAGCCCAATGTGGGGCTCGATCCCAGGACCCTGGGACCATGACCTGAGCCGAAGGCAGATGCTTAACGACTGAGCCACCCAGGCGCCCCTATAGTACTGATTTTCTCAAAGTGCCATATATATATATTTTTCTATATTCTCAATATTCATATGAAATAGATAAAGGGCAGGTTCTCCTAAACCCACCTTAACACTGAAGACACAGAAACAGGGGAAATAACAACTGTGGGAAGTCAGATAATTAGTCAATAGCTAATCTGACTCCCATTTAATTTACAAATTGTCAAAAACTCACCTTCTCCAACTGTATAGGCTGCAGAGGTAGGTTTCTTGTTTACAGCTGCATACAAAGCTTCTGGTCTGCCAAATAAATACACAAACAGATTAAAAAAAAACAATAATGAAACAAAGACATCAACAAGCAAAAACCAAGAAAGGTGATACAGCAGGTGTTTGCAGTACTTTCTTTAAGGGCTTTCCAAAATCAGTTTAAATATTGTCTCAGTACACAGGCTAGAAAATTCTCATACACAAAATCGTTAGGGGACTAAGAAGGGCCTGGTTACAGACTTCTAAATTTTTTAATAAAGTAATTTCAACATGATTTATAAATAGTTTTTTCAAGTGTGAGATACTTTGCCTTTCTAAAGGAATTTTAAAAAGACACAAGTGCTTTAGTAAATGGACAGTTATTTAGTAAAGTACATAGGGGGCTTGGCTTGGTATAGGGAGAAAAAGGACAACATACCAATATATAAATTTTAATATTTGTTTAGAGCACACTACATTTCAATATATAAAAATAATAGAACTTGATATTTCGGAACCGGTAAAGCTTTGATTTCCAATTTAACCCAGGAAACTGTCTTAAAAAATCTGGAAGACTGTCATATTTAAGAACTAGACATCTGTAGGATGCACCAGTGCTCCCCAAGACCCTTGAGGAAATTATACAGTAAGGCAGTTCTCAGGGAAACAGAGTGGAAGCTTACTACAGCTCATGGCCACAGCTGAACAGACTGCCTTGTTTAGGGCATGATCTCTCCATTACTGTAGGCTTTCAAGTTATATGCCTTATCTGTTAGAAAAGATCAGTAATTGAATGAAGAGTTAGGGGGAAAACAACACTTAAACTTACTGTCTTTGCACTTAAGTTTTCTACTCCATAAAACGATACGGTGTTTAAATAAGATAATTCCTATAAAGGGCCCAGCTCCGTGCCAACATGCGTGTGTCAGCTCTGAATTGTTATCACTTACACAGTTCTAAGTCTAAAATTCCGTGTCAGTCTGAAAAGTAAATTTCTGCATTTGAACTAAAAATTCATACATAGAGTCTCAGCATTGAAAGGGTTTTTAAAGATTAATTCACTCTTTTTATCTAATTAGAAAACTGCAAAGTAGGTTATTCCATAGAGCCTGACAAAAAAATAGCAGAATCAGAACTCAAGCCTCTTGATTTCCAAAGACCTGTCTCTTTTCAATCAGATCACTTTTCTATTTAGATTAACTTCCATATAAAACACAAGAGACAGCTGCCCATCACTACATTAGAGTACTTATTTCTTAAACATCTTTCTTTTTTTTTTTTAAGATTTTATTTATTTATCTGACAGAGAGAGACATAGCGAGAGAGGGAACACAAGCAGGGGGGGTGGGAGAGGGAGAAGCAGGCCTCCCACCGAGCAGGGAGCCCAATGCGGCACTTGATCCCCGGACTCTGGGATCATGACCTGAGCCGAAGGCAGACACCCAACAACTGAGCCACCCAGGAGCCCCTTATTTCTTAAACATCTTAAAGACGTTTGATGATCTCACTCCTCTGCAGACTGGGAAATAAAGGCCAGAGACCTTGTCTAGTTTTTACCTGCTGTTCTCATTTGAAAATGGATTCAACTCACTGTTGCTTCAATGACTCCTTATTCGCTGAGCTAACATGACTGGGAAGCTACCATGCACTGAGATGACACGAGCCAGGGGAAAAACTCAAAACCAAACAAAGACACGGACCCTGTCCTCCTGGAGCTTACGATTTAATAAGGGGCATGGGTAAGAAAATAGGTAACTACATTCCAGTCTGCTGCGAGCAGTAAGAGAGGTGTGATCTCCAAGGGATTCTGGAGGCCCAGAAACGGTAAGTCCTACGCTTTGGCAAAGGGGAGGTCGGTCCTCAGCAAACATTTACTTAAAAGCTGGCAGTGCCAAGTGACAACACGGGAAAAGCGCTCCAAGGGAAATGAAAGGCAACTTCTCTGACTGACCTGGTAGCACAATGAAAACAACCGATCTCAAATTTTAAGCACGTTGAGAACTCTAGGAAGCTGAAATAACTAGAATAAAACACATTCTAAAACTGGTACAAATATCTGAAGTGCGCTTTTTCACTCTTGGAATTACCCTTCTGATGGTCCAAACTCAAGCATACATGTTTTATTTGATGGGACAGCCAGTGGTTCTACGGTGGACTCATTAGTGAAAACACCAACATCCGTGTCTCATGGAAACACAAAACGCTTACTCTTCCTGCTTGACTTCACTCCCAGGGATGATTTTGACATAAGATTTTGGAAACCATCCTCTTCCTCCAGGCACCTCCCCAAACCACCAATTTTCTTGCTGCTCCAAGACAGTAATAATATCATGTTTGGAGAAGTTCAAGTGGTTGTCTTTCTTTGCAGTCCAAGAACAAAGGGCCTGTGCCTTTAGGTTTTCTACAACCTGTCCCTGTGAATACAAAACCACAAAATTGGGGAAAAAAAAAAGGTAACCAGGATTTCTGTTTCCTAATATATAACTTACTTACTGTTTAAACAGAGACCAGTTTGGTGTGGTCGTGCCTTAAGATAACCTTTATCTACTAATCGATTTAAAATGATATATGGCAGAGAACATCTGCCGTAGCCTTCTGTTAAAGACCGAACACCTACCGTTCAAGGAAACATCTTGGCATGAAGTATCACTGGATTGGAAGAGGAACACTGGGCACTCAAGGAATGTACTCATAAATCCATCAAGTAGACGTCACAGAACAAATGCAAAGAATTACTGCAGCCCCTTCCTGTCCTCCAGTTCTGGACATCCCCTCCCTGTGGTCCCCTCCCTGTGGTCACGGCAGGTCACAGGTCACACCACTAGCCCTACAGATACGGTTGTGCTCTGCCTCCCTTCACTTTTCTGCTCTCCATCCCTGAACTTCCTCCTTGTATTCTTACTCATTCTCCTTTCTTTGCCTCCTCTCCGAGGAAGGAGTATTCATTGATAAGGCTAATCTCTTTACCTGTACTCTCGATTTCTACTATGCCCTCCCTTTTCTACAAATCTTGTAACATCTTGAAGTGCCTCTCTAAAATAGTCAATCTCTCCACCTCTCTACTTAACTTCTACCTCTAAATTCCTTAAAGACAGGAACTCAATCCATTTTAATTTTGGTTCTGCACCCACCACACTACTGAACCTCTTCTTGACAAGGTCATCGATAACGTCAAAGCCCAAAAAGCTTCTTCCAAACCCTTATTTTCCCTGATGTCTGAACAGTGCTGACATCACTTAACACCCCTGCTGTTCTTTCTTTCTTTCTTTCTTTCTTTATTTGAGAGAGAGAGAATGAGAGACAGAGAGCATGAGAGGGAGGAGGGTCAGAGAGAGAAGCAGACTCCCTGCTGAGCAGGGAGCCCGATGCGGGACTCGATCCCGGGACTCCAGGATCATGACCTGAGCCGAAGGCAGTCGCTTAACCAACTGAGCCACCCAGGTGCCCACCCCTGCTGTTCTGAAAGCTCACTCTCTGGTGATTGATGGATCCCCTTTTTGGTCCAGGCCCTTTCCTTTCCTGTTTCACATGATTTCCCTAAATTATTTTATTTATGTCTATGCCTTTTCAAATCTCTTTTTTTTAAATAAAGATTTTATTTATTTGTCAGAGAAAGAGGGCACAAGCAGGAGGAGCGGCAGGCAGAGGGAGAAGCAGGTTCCCCGCTGAGCAAGGAGCCGTATGAGGGACTCGATCCCAGGATCCTGGGGTCATGACCTGAGCTGAAGGCAGACACTTAACTGACTAAGCCACCCAGGTGTCCCTCAAATCTTTTTTTTAAAAGATTTTATTTCTTCATTTGTCAGAGAGAGAGCGCACGTGCACAAGCAGGGGGAGTGGCAGGCAGAGGGAGAAGCAGGCTCCCCACCGAGCAAGGAGCCCGATGCGGCGGGACTATCGATCGCGGGACTATCGATCCCGGGACTCCGGGATCATGACCCGAGCCAAAGGTAGATGCTTAAACGACTGAGCCACCCAGGTGTCCCTCAAATCTGTATCTTAGTTGTAACTTTATCTCCTGAGCTCCAGACTTGTAAGTCAGACTGTTTACTGGGCCTTCCCACCAGGTTGTCTCTAAAACAGATACCTAGGTTGCACATGTGGGATGTACCATTTTTAGAACCCACGGAACCCACTCCTCTTGCAACACCCACCCAAGACAATGCCATCACCATATTTCCTGTTACTCGAGCTAAAGATCCTGAAAATGTATAGAAGGGAAATCCATTTCCTCTTCTACACATTTTCTTTACTGTGGCACTGGTTCACATCGTCCTCTCTTGTTACTTAGCTACTCTAGCATCCTTCCTTACTTGACTCCTTTGCTTCCTTCCACCCATCTGGCCCCTGTACTACTGCTGGAGTTAGGTTTCTAAAATATACACCTCTTAGAAACTTTCATGGGCTGCCCACTGCCAAGTTGCTGGGCACTGTATTAAATACTTCACAAATAAACCTCCACCCCTAACTTCAATTCTTGACCCTTTCTCCATGAATCCTGTACTCTAGCCACACTATAAACAATTCTCGACCTGCAAACTCCTTGTATTAACATGCCTCACTATCTTCCCCAAATTATTTTTTCACAGGAGTAACTTTCCTTCTCTGTTTGCTAAAATCTTATCTTCAAAGGTCCTGCTCCAATACCTGGCCCTTTGTGAACCCTGCTCCAATTCCCACAGACTGAATGAGATCTCTCTCAGCTGTATATACCTCAAGTCTTTGTAGAATATCTTTATGACAATACTTCTCATATTTTACAATTATTTCTTCTTTTTAAAAGATTTATTTTTTAAAGATTTTAAAGATTTATTTATTCATTTGAGAGAGAGAGAGCACAAGCGAGCATGAGGGGGGGTGCAAAGGGAGGGGGAGAAGCAAGCTCCCCACTGAGCAGGGAGCCCTATGTGGGGCTCATTCCCAGGACTTGGAGATCATGACCTGAGCCGAAGGCAGATGCTTAACCATCTGAGCCAACCAGGTGCCCCTATAATTATTTATTTCTGTGTCTGTCTCATTAAATTATGACTTCTTAATGGCAGGGATTTTTTTCCCATTAAATTTCTAGCACATAATGAAATGCCTGGAACCTATGGTCACGTATAAACATTTTTTGAGTGAAGGTGAAATCTCCAGACTCTATACTGATGAAGTCTGTGATTTCTTTTCAATAATGTTAATGTAACAATGCCTGTAATGGTTACATCTAAATCAGGGGCTAAATATATATAATGTAGTTCCCACACAAATAACTTTTTTAAGAACAAAAAACCAAAAACTCCCAAGCCCAAATATCTTCTTACAATAACTATGAATTAAGAATAATATAACCAGATTTGTCAAGATGACATTTTGAGCTTAGAAATCTTAACTGGTTGGGGTGCCTGGGTGGCTCAGTCGTTGGGCGTCTGCCTTCAGCTCAGGTCATGATTCCAGGGTCCTGGGATTGAGCCCCACATCGGGCTCCCTGTTCAGCAGTAAGTCTGCTTCTCCCTCTCCCACTCCCCTTGCCTGTGTTCCCTCTCTCACTGTGTCTCTCTCTGCCAAATAAATAAATAAAATCTTAAAAAAAAAAAAAAAGAAAGAAAATTGGTAGCAACTGGATGCTATGAAAATGAATTGTTGAGAAACTTCTAAGTAATAATAATTTCTTTACATTATATCACACGTGAACAATAAGAACAGAAACCAAATGTTACAAATTCTGGTTAAAAGAGTAAATGATGCCTTTGTACAAAAATCTTCAATTTTATTTTTTTTTAAGATTTTATTTATTTATTTGACAGAGAGAGACACAGCAAGAGAGGGAACACAAGCAGGGGGAGTGGGAGAGGAAGAAGCAGACTCCCCGCTGAGCAGGGAGCTCAATGCGGGACTCGATCCTAGGATCCTGGGATCATGACCTGAGCCGAAGGCAGATGCTTAACGACTAAGCCACCCAAGTGCCCTCTTTATTCAATTTTATGTGAACAGGAGCAATGTCAAAGAATAAAGAACACAGGGGCGCCTGGATGGCTCAGTTGGTTGAGTGTCCCAACTCTTGATTTTGGCTCAGGTCATGATCTCAGGGCTGTGAGATTGAGCCCCGTGTCAGCCTCCGTGCTCAGCACGGAGTCTACTTGAGTTTCTCTCCCTCTGCTCCTTCCCCCGCTTGTACGTGTGCTCTCTCTCACTCTCTAAAATAAATAAATAAATCTTAAAAAGAAAAAAAGAGGATAAAGCACACAAAATTATAGATACACACCTGTCCATGAATCGGTGATACAGATCCAGGGGACACAGTACGAGTAAAAGCTGATTTTTTTTGCCATGATGTATTAACAGTTAGGTTTGTAAAAGATACATTTTGATAATCAGTCACTGATGCTGGTTGATTTGAAGAAAGTGATCTGTAAATACAACACTTTGATATAAGTACAGTTAATCATTTAAAATCTAATGAAGTACTACAAATTTATCAGCTTGTATATAATTTACTTTGTGTTTAAACAAAATCTGTGGAAAAAAAATTCACGAACAAAGTACTGACCTACATTTTTATTTATTAAATTCTACTATGAAATTTGGAAGGTACTCTTGGAGAGCCCAGCACAGATTATAATATGATTAAGTAGCAGGCTGACACGAATACCTATTAGGTATTTATACATTTACCAAAAAATGCATAAACTCCACTGTTAGCTAAAAACTTACTCAGAAGAAGTTGAGGTAGCAGATACAGATACTGTAGGGGGAAGTAAGGCCTTCTTAGGAGACACAGATTTTTCACCTGATGGCATTTTTTCTACATAGTTGCATGGAAACCAGCCAAAATTTCCTTGAAAACTACCATAAAGCCAACCAGGTTCTCCTATGGTTTTTTCATCAACCTATGGAAACAAAAAGAAGGGTTAACAATGGTTAGAATACTACACATTTACAAAGGAAGGAGATGCAGACTGCTGTATAGTAGCCTCATTTTCAGAATTAAGTTGACACCATTTTCTACAAATCAATAGGTCACTCACTATCTCTAATTACTGACATAGTGCCTTTTTAAAATTTAATTTTTAATTTCATCCAGGTTAAATATGAAAATAGTTTACAAAACAAACAGCATTCTACATGGCTTATCCTGGAAGACCCCATCACTCAATATGCCCTTATTTCCACTCCTCACAGTAACTTGCCATTTTTAGTTGTTTCTTCTGTATTATCTTCTGTATTTCTAAGTAACATACTTATACTACTATTTCTTGAATGTTTCAATTTTAGACATACTATTGGCTTTTGGTTATGGAAAATCAACATTTAACTTTCTTTTACTGCATCTTTTTATTCTATCAATACTGCTATCTCAAAATTTTTGGTTAAATTATATTCAATGGTTACATTATTATGACTATGCAAATAAATTTTCACATCTGAATAATGCACTATTCTGATAATTACACTTACTTTCTTGCAAACTTGTTATTATCCTATAGTTAATCATTAATTTTTTTGCTTAGTTTTTTCTGTTCCTATCACAGAATCTTCTTGAACTAAGAGTTCTGAATACTATTTTCCAACTGGTAACACACACAGATGATTTATAGTTTCATTTTTTTCTTCCTTTTATTGCTGAGGAGTATTACATTGCATAGATGTACCACAATTTGTTTATATGCTTACCTAGTAATGGACATTTGAGTTGTTTCCAGTTTTTGGCTATTACAAATAAAACTATGAACATTTGTCTTCGTATATTGATCTTGTATCCTGTAACCTTGCTAAACTCACTCATTAGTTCTATCATAGCTAGCATAGCTATGTAGTAACTATAAAATGGTGTTCTGAAACAGAACATAGGAACCACTGCTAAAATATCATCCTGTAGATCTAGTTTAAGACTACTTTAAAATAGCCAATCCAGAGCACTAAAAACGAAGACAAGAACACAACAGACCCTAAGGAATTATGCAACCGAAAGCAGCATGCTCAGCAATTCACCTGATTTAAGTGTTGGTCTCAAAGCAAGGATCACTGACAGGTATGAATACTAGCATTCAAACACTAACTTCCTCCTTTTTCTATAAACTTTTTTTTTTTTTAAAGATTTTATGTATTTATTCATGAGAGACAGAGAGAGAGAGAGAGAGAGGCAGAGGGAGAAGCAGGCTCCCAAGGAGCAGGGAGCCCGATGCGGGACTCAATCCCAGGACCCTGAGATCATGACCTGAGCCGAAGGCAGACGCTTAACCATCTGAGCCACCCAGGCGCCCCTTTCTATAAACTTTTTTAAAAGCCTACTTTCTTTAATACTTTTTCCTAATATTTTCTACTTTTCTAAGAAGAAAAGGCCCATTCATTTAATCTTTAGAATTAGACCAAGTTTGCTTTGTTAGGGGTCAATTTTAACCGATTTCATATCTGTTATTTGTAGCCCTAATTAATTTTTACTTGTCAATTTACACAGTGACTTAAACTAGAAAATTTTACATAAGTTCTCACAGGTTAATGGAAACTATTACTTCAAAAATAGCACTAACACATATGAACGCTTGAACAACAGGTTGTCATGGAAAATGTTGCCAGGACTCAGTGGAATTTCTAATCTTTTTCACTTTCAACCAAATCCCTTCTGCTACTCTCATCCATTAAGTTGATTAGACCTTGCCTCCTATCTTACCAAGAACAGGGAAGCCCTCAGATCTGAGCTCACCTTCTAACTCAGCAAAATGTATTTAATAATCCCATCCATCCTTTTCTTTCAGCCCTCTAATCACAAAGGAAGAGGTTATCTAGTCCTTCCACTACTCTCTCCTGTGCTCTAGATCCCAAGCCCTCCAGCCCTATAGAGAATCTTCCTCATCTGCATCCACTGGTCAGAATAGAGAGGTCTGCCAGGGAGGCATGAGGTGCCTTCCTGAGTGTTCTGTGTTCTATATGTTGATCTGAGTGGTAGTTTAACAGATATATACATGTGTACAAATCTACACTTGAGTTGTACATTTACAGTTGTGCACTTTACTAAATCCAGTATCATTAGCCCTTTCCCTCTCTGCAGATCTTCTCTATCATTAAACTTGCTCAAGCTTCAGCCAAGTTAAAAACAAACAAAAACATGAAACATAGAACAACTTCCCTCAACCCATACTCCTCACTATCATTTTCTCTCCCTTCTCCCTTTCAAAAGCCAAGCTCCTTCAAAGAATTTTATATATTCACTGTCTCCTCTCCCTCCCTTCCAATTTGTTCAGGTCACTGAATCTGGCTTCTTCCCCCACCACTCCACTCAACGAATATTGTTTTCCTCCAGGTTAACAATAGCTGTGATACTGTTAATCTAATGGTTATTTTTTTTTTTTAGTCCCATCTTATTTCACATGGAGATCCAGACCACTCTTCTCAAAATTCCCTAACACTAAACTACTCTCCTGGCTTTTTCCTACCTCTCGTTCTTTTAAGGCTCCCCTTCCTCTAATAATCCCTCCAGTATTCATGTCTCTTGGGGAATTGCATCATCAATCATCCTCTACACTCATGTCAATTACCATCACAACATAATGATGACACTCAAACTGGCCTCCTCTGATCTCTGCCTGAGATCCCCCTATATCTGTGGATAGCCAGGGTTGTATCCACCTGCTGCCTAGAAATTTGAAACTCACCCAAAATTAAACTCATTGTAACTCTTACTCAAATTCCCTCCTTCTGATCTTCCTCTCTTAGTGAATGACACTGTCATCAACCAAGTTGTCCAAATCAGGCATCTGGTAGTAACACATGACTCATTCTTTACATCAGTGATTCGGCGGAGAACACAAATAGTCCAGAAACTCTAGCTAAGTTAATGTTCCTGTTGTCACTGCCACCAGACTGGCTTGATGACCATGGGGGGAGGTCTGCTCTAAAGCTGGTAGCTTTCCACCACCTTCCTTCCTCTACTACATTAGAATGTCTGTCTTTCTCATCAGACTATCAGCTCATTAAGTGCAGAGACTGTGTCTTGTTTACTATATCCCTAGCCTAGCCATAGCCCTCAACAAGTATTTGTTGACAGAATAAATAAAAGATGTAACCAAAAATATAAGTAGGCTCTTGACCAAATGTGCCCAGAGACAGGCTGCATCTCTTCATTCTTGGACACAACCTCATCACCACCAATAGGTGGAGGAGGATCAAGAGGGCCCCGGACTGTGGCACTGTGTGGTGGCAACGGTAACAGAAGGAATGTGCAGCTGGGGACCATCATGAGTGTTTGAACAGATGTTTCCGGTAAACACTATGCCAAGTATCACTAAATATTTGCTATGTAACTGATAAAATACACCACACTGGTGACCATGCAGGGAAAAACGAAAGCAGGCACTGGCTAGGTATTCGAGGTAATATTACCTTAATTTACTAAGAAGAAAACTGAAGCAGACACTAAAACCCAAGTTAGTGTGCTTCTAAAGCCTATATTCTTTCCATTATATCACAGTGGCTGTATCAAATGCTCTTCCCTGCATCTTGTCTTATTCATCCATTTTATGTGGTTTGTGACTATATAATAAAGGCCTTTTTTTTCCCCAGGAACAAGGGACTGCATCTAGTTAGAGCTATAGAAGTAAACAGTTGTAGTTACCTCCTTCAACTCTTTTAATGGTTGACAGAAAATAATCAGCTTCTCCAAATTTCATTGGTAATTTATTAACATAACAAAATCAGCATCACCTTTTATGATGTGAAGCAATGGCACAGTGTAAAGAACATTGGATTTGGAAATCAGAGACATGTACTTGCAACCCACTCTGGCACTGTTCTGCTGACTGTTACATTTTGTGTAAGTCTAAGCTTCCTTACCTAGAATATGGCAGTAATAATATGCAACTCTGCAGTATGTTGTTAGGGCCAAATCAGATAAAGTTCAAGATACGCTTTTTAAATGGGAAATCACTATATAAAATTATAGTCATTATTATTATAGAAAGTAACATATTACATTGTATTAAGCTTATTCATGAACAAAAAAGACTGTTTCCTACCTGTATTATATCCCCAGAATTAAAACTCATCTCATCATGGCTCCTGGCTTCAAAGCGATACAATGCTTTATAATTTACCAAAGCACTAGCTGGCTCACCTAAAGAGAAGATAATTGTCATTATTTGCTACTTTCATGTATACACATTTTTGTGATGACTCTATAATATAAAGAGCTTGTAAAATCAAAAGGAAAAAAACTGAACATCAAACAGTAAAATGAAAATCCATTTGACACAGGCTTGTTAGGATTTAAATATTGTGTATAGTCACAGAATCAATATAAAAGCAAATGAGGACGTTCATCTTCAGTAAAGTAGGAGGCAATGAAACAAAGCCATGACTTGCAGGGTGTGCCACGCACGGGGACGTCGGGGAAGGCAGAGGAGTGGTGGCAGGCTAAGCCGTGCAAAGTGCAAGGAGGCCAAGCAGCAAGGTTTGTTCTGTGGCGCTCAGGACGTAACAGGGAAGAGGAGACAGAGAGAGAGGTCACAGATGAGATTAGCAGTGAATAGGGTTCAGTGAAGAAAGAGCTGTAGATTTACCAGTATGGTTCTAAAAGAAAAACAGAAGAGCTCACAGATACACTAGCCTTAATAAGATTAAAAATATTTAACTTTATTTGCAGAATAAATGCTTTAGCTTACAGAAATTTCAACACATGTATCATTAATAAGGATTCAAATATTTGTATATCCACAAGAGATACAGTAATATGTAAAGTATTTTAGGAATGGAATCTGAGATGTAGCATAAACAAAGTGTATCATTTGAGAAAATTTTAATATGCAAAGACTTACAATTTTACTGTTATTCATTAAAATAAACAGTTTAGTTAACACTGGCTGAATAAACTACAACTGTTTACTTCAATTATGAAAACCATGTCAGGGTCTGTTCATAGCTACTCAGTGATTACGATCTTCTTTTCTACATGTTGTTTTAAGACTTCTACCCTCAGTCTGTTTTAATAAAGCCTATGCACTTCTCCAAGTTTAATTAATTAATTTATTTTTTATTTTATTTTATTTTATTTTATTTTTAGATTTTATTTATTTATTTGACAGAGAGACACAGCGAGAGAGGGAACACAAGCAGGGGGAGCGGGAGAGGTTGAGAAGCAGGCTCCCCGCAGAGTGGGGAGCCCGATGTGGGACTTGATCCCAGGACCCTGGGATCATGACCTGAGCTGAAGGCAGTCGCTTAACCGACTGAGCCACCCAGGAGCCCCAAGTTTAATTTAGAAAAAGGTTTTTTTCTGACTCAAAGGTTAACATGTTTAAAAATTTTTTTTCCCCTCTCATCATCTTTTTTTCTTTTTGCTGTCATTGTTCTGTCTCAGAAAAATCAAATCTATTATTTTTATCCTTATCCTTACATTGCTTCTCCTCCACTTTCTGCTCTTCTTCTTGAACTTTCTCTTGTGTTTTTTCTTCCTGGAGTCGCTTTTGTTTTTCTTCTTCCTCCTTTCTAAGACTTTCTCTCCATAAGTTTTCTTTTCCTTGCTTTGCTTTCCTTTACATTAAAAAAAAAAAAAAGAGTTTGCATAATGTCCTAAAATTTTTGTTATGCAAAATAAAAATATTAGATCTTGTTCCTCACAAACTATAGAAATATTACATATTTCTTATGTATTTATATATAATCATATATTTATTATGTAGCAAAGACATATTAGTAGGGGGTGTGGAGAAACAGTGGGGATCATGGATGAAGGTGAAACCAATTAATCAAGAGAGGCAAACGGATGAGCTGGGGAGTAGGACTGACAATTTCCCATACCCTTAAATTCCCTCCTGTCAGCTAACCTCCCAGTCCCAAGAAGGGGAACTATTCAGAAAACAAGTCCAAAAGGTATATCTAAACGTTCTTCCTTTCCCTCCAGATTTTTCACAAGGATTGTATTCTAGCTCTTATTTCCACTATCCTAGCTAACCCCTGTTTTCAGGGTTTGGTCATTACTGTGGAAACAGGAAATGTTTTTGGGCAGATTACCTACTTTCTACATTATCCCTTGGAAGTCTTTTCCACTGTTAAGAGAATAGGACATGTTTCCCCTATAGGTCCATGCTTCCATATGTGTTTCTAGGACATATGATATAGCTGCAGCTTGATTTCTAGCTAGGCAAGATGGTCTCTGATCAGACTTAGCTATTACAGTATTGAAACTAATGTTCACCATAGTTTTCTTTCTTGCATATATTTTTTATGGTCTTACTCGGAGGCAGAGCTGTCACCACTAAATTTAGCACCTTCTCCAAGCCTCTGCTCACACTATCAGGGACAGCAGAGCTTGTGGCTGGATTCATCCTGGGAGTTGGGGGTATTTATGCCCCACCGAGAAGGATACCTTGGCTTAATTCCATGTCTCAATTCCTAGAATTCTTGGAGGAATTTGGAAATTCTATATAATCCCCCAAACCGTAGACCCACTTAGCCACCTTTCTTCCTCATTCCTGAACTGTTTTACACTTCGTACTCCTGGTTCATTACCCCATGACTAGCTTCCTCTTGACCCTTTTCAAATCCTCCCATACCCTCTCTCACTCCAAAGAGTGCTTCCTCCAGCACTTCTGTGACTGACATCTGGCTCTCCTTTGAGGGCCATGCTTCTCTGTGGTCCTTTCTTAATCTCAACTGCCATCCCTTTTCCCAGTTAGTTCCTCGGTCGCCTTCTATGATATTCTTCCACACCTAAGATGACCTAATCTAGCTTCTATTTGAATTCCCAGAGATTATAAACACCACCAAGTATTTACCACATGTTTACTGGGATAAAGAAAGGCTAGAGAGTTAAGAGAATATAAAATTAAATTTTGGTAAACTTTCTTATGTATGAGTTAGTGCATGAGAAATTGGTCCAGAGCCAGAAGATACCTCAGAAGCTGGACAAAGGGCAAAGAGGCCACATCTACACTGTGAAAACCTGACTATAACCAACAGCACGAGACAAGGAGGGAATCTTCCAAGGTAAATGGCCAAGAAATCAGGTTATACTTCTAAGACTCAGCTCTGGACAGATCGGACATGTGTTTCTGCTCTGATTTCTTCCCTCTTCTATAGCAGGATAATGTGTGAGGAGGATGAATCAAATGAAGATGTGTATTATTAATATGGCTTGCTGGCCTAAAAAAATTGTGAGCAGTGATGAAGAGATACCAAGATACTTGCAACGTGTCGGCAGAAAATTCTGACACAGTGATTAGCTATGTAGTCGCTGCACAATTCCCTTGTGCAATGTTCAGTGGCAGTTAAGTGGCAAATAAAAAGCCTTCTTAGTCTCTGCTTTTATATTATTCTAGTGTCTCTTGTTAGGGGCCACGAAGTAAGGGCTTGGAGTAAAGAGTACTACAGAGATCTGTTTAGCTGTCTGCACCTCCTACTGGAATGACGAGGAATCAAGGAACAAGGAGTAAAACCAGAGTCTTCTTGCATCACAGTCAACAGTGGCCACTCATTAAAAGTGTGTTGGGAGTGGTTATTCTGAAGCCTTTAAAAATAGAAGCCTGCTATATGGTAACGTGTTTTTCTTGCCTCCCTAGTAACTATTAGCTCTTTCATGGGCATTACTCGTCTACTTATCTCCAAGGCAAAGGAATGCTGGCTCCTTAATATTTGTTAATTATACTGATTTCTGACACTAGAGAACTTGCCGGGGGGGTGGGGGTACTGAGGAACATAACATATTAGAAACAGGACCACACAACAGAAAAAAATCATGCTGAGTCTCTAAATAAATGGTTCAATGCTTCAGATTCTGCAACTGTCTTACTTCTCTTTGCTATAAATGGAGGCAATTGATAAGCTCAGTGGTACAAAAAGAATTGCAGCAACATGGCATTATATACTCCATCTTATCACTCTGTAAAATTAAGTATTTGGGTTTTGTGATCTTTCAGCAAACTAATAGATTTACAATGGAGAGACAGAAATGATGAATGTAAGACATTTGTGTTTGGCTCATTAGCTATTTTTTTTTTTTTTTTAATTCTCAGTTACCTGTAAGGTCTGCATCAATATTTCTATTTTTCAGATGGAGAAACCGGGGTTCAAAAGGTAAAGTGACTCAACCAAGGTCATCCAAACAGTAAGTGGTAGATCAAGAAGTCTAATCCCTGTCTGACTCCAAAGCCCTATTTTTCACCAATGGAACATAAAATTGATTACTATAATCTCAGTCCCTAAAAGAAGAACTGAATTTCTAAAATTGAGACTTTAATTAGCATCCAAGGATAATCCTTTTATTTTCCTTAACTTTTCATAGTCAAAATAAAGATATGGGCAACAAAATTAGAATTCTAACAGTAATGTAGTATAATAAATTTATCAGCTATATTACCTTATAGCCTCATCTTCTAGTTTCTTTTTCTGTATTAGCTCTGACCTTTTTCTTTCAATTTCCTTCAACTTGTCACGTTTGATCTTATGAAGTTGTTCAAGCGCTAACTGCTGTGTATTATAGCTTTCTCTCAGTTCCTAAGGAGAAAATGAAAATAAATCAATATGCCGTTGATTTAAATATTTTTGTCTTATGTACTAATGTGGCATTTTCATTAAGAGACAAAAATCTGAAAGCAAGTTAAACTAAAGTAAAAAGAGTAAAAGTTTAAAAAATATCTGAATGATTAAAAAGTCCTGAATACAAGTATTTAAGTCCTGTAACCACTGAGGACAAATATATGTTAAAATCATGTACTTTTGTATTAATTCATTTCTAAGGAATAAAGATAAGCCAATTTCATAAGCCAAATCTTTGATTTGATACTTTATTTTCAATAAAAAACCCCAATCCATTAAAAATGTGGGGAAACAGGGGTGCCTGGGTGGCTCAGTCAGTTGAACATCCAACTCCTGGTTTTGGCTCAGGTCATGATCTCAGGGTTGTGCAACCGAGCCCTACATTGGGCTCCATGCTCAGCTCGGAGTCTGCTTGAGATTCTCTCTCTCCCTCTCCTCCTCCCCCCTCTCACACTGGCCCGCTCTCTAAAATAAATGAATAAATCTTTAAAAGAATATGGGGAAACAATCTGCTTATTATTTGAAGAGGTTTGTTCAGTCATATTTTTTACATATGTAGTTTAACCAAGTACCCATAACTTATCCAGTGAGATCCTGAACTAAACACAGAAGCAATATTGAATAATTTAGTTAAAACTAAAAATGGAAAAGATAATGTCTACCTAAAATCATGACTAGAGTAAGCCAAAATAATGAAAAGTATTGCAAACAGGAATTGAAATAAATACTTGCTTATTGAGCATCTAGTGCTATGCAGTGCCAGAGATATGCAGGGGATCAAATCCAGGGCCCTCTGGCTCTCAAGTTTGCAGTTTTTGCCCTCAAAGAGCTCAAAGTCTCAAAGTAGAGAAAAGTGCCAAGATGTGGGTTAGAGATAAGCACCTTAGCAGAAACCTGTGGTTATCTGTTCAGCATTTTCCTTCTGTCTTCTTCTAACAGCACCTTTCCAACAGCACCTGCCCCAACCCTATTCTGTGCGGTTGTGATCTGTGAGATTGTGAAGAATCTGTCCCTCAGAGTCCACTCAGGTGCAGTCGTTTAAGCTAGGCCTAACTAATCAATCACAGCACCCCACCTCCCTGGCCAGAAGGACTGGTCCAAAGGACATGCACATGGATCCAAGCTGGGCCAGAATCCTTTCCTGGGATTCAGACAGACTGAAAAGGGTCTGAGAAAGAAGTCTTTCCTTCTCTAAACTCATTAAACTGGGATAAGGTAAACCTGGAGCTGTCCCACTACCAAGTGAGGCCACTGGGGTGGAAATGAAATCAGTACAGAAAACAGGGAAGCAAAGACTGCAGGCAGAGAGAGGGAGGCCTGGGGGAACCGCCTCTCCAACTGCATTTCTATGTCTAGGAACTGCCCCTGCCCAGTAGCACTTCTACGGACTCAGTAAACAGTCCTGGTACTCTTCCAGTAACTACTCTTGTTAGCTTAACTAGTTTGAACTGAGTTTCTTTTACATGATATCTACAGAATCCTGAACAAGAGAGTTTAAAAAGGCTGGAGTAAGGAAGAGAAAAAAACCCCAAACCAAAAAACCCCCACAAAAACCTAAAGTAATCAAGAGGTTTCATGGCAAAGGTAGAACCTTCAACAGTACAGCTGACCCTCAAATAATCGGGTTTGAACTGTTTGTGTCCACCTATACACAGATTTTTAAAAATAAATACAGCATAGTATTGTAAATGGGTTTTCCTTATGATTTTCTCAATTTTCTTTTCTTTAGCTTAATTTTAAGAATACAGTATAATATATATATAACACACAAAATTTGTGTTAATCACTGTTTATGTTATAGACTAGGTGTCTGGTCAATAGTAGCCTATTAGTAAGTTTTGGGGAAGTCAAAAGCTGTACACAGATTTTCAACTATATTGGGCATTGGCGCCCCTAACCCATGTGGTTCAAGGGTCAACTATATTGGTAGAATGTTTTGGTAACAAAATGTTTTGAGGTATCTACCCACACACAATAACAAAACTCTAAACCAAAAAATCCTCCAAAACAAACCCCCCCCAAAAGCCCAAACTCAGTTTCTTTCCAGAAATACAATATTTTATAGGTGAACCTTTTTAACTTGATTGAAGTGATATATATGATCTGAGTACAATGTGGTATAAGTCTGAAGACTATGTCCAAAATGTCTGAGATCAAGACTTGCAGCTTAAGCCAATAATACAAATACTGCATTCAGGGCAAAGTTTCCACAAATCTTAGCTTTCAATAGTTCTCTCGGCTGCACTTTTCTCTAAATTCTACTGAAAAGCAGAGGATATGGTGGTTGCAATCTATGGAGAAGCAGTCTGGCTTAGTGATAAGGACTCTGAGAACACAGGTCTGAATCAGGCTCTGTCAGTGGTGGGCTGAGTAACATCAGGAAAGTTACTTTGCCGTTTCCTCATCTGTAAAATGTACTTAATTATAGTACATGCCTCACAATACTGTCGTGAGGATTAAATGGGTTAATACCCATAAAGTGCTTATTATAATTGTGGAGGGCACAGAGCAAGTTCATAATAATTTTAGCTATTATTATTGGCTGAGGTCATAAAGGAAAAGAATTGTTAAGTTTAAAAGGAGAGTAAAGCGGAGCCAAATTAATGTCTGATCTTCTTATGGCTGCAAGATTAGCCCTTAACTTGTCCTGTAAGATACTGCTCTAAGTCTTCCTTTACCAGCCCTTTTCCTCCAGTGTCTGAGTTCATGAGCTTCCCATGCTCCCCAAGGCATCCTGGGCCTTCCTCTATCATAGTCAGCGTCTCCTGACTATATGGTGGCCTCCTCCACTGGAGTGAGTTTCTTGACAACAGGACTGACTTTCATCAAGGTATCCCCATCCCAGAGGGCGGATATTTAATTAGTATTTCTTATATGAATGAGAATGCATAAACAATAGTCTATACATATTAATAAGATTTGAAGAGCACTATAAGGCTTGCCAGAAACCTCCTCTGCCTAACTGCAATAATCTTAGCAATTCCTAACACTAGACTCATTCCTCTGGATTAAGTCACTGCTTCCCGGAGGCCCTGGTTCAATAGATGAGTTAACTGAGGACAAGTAAATTAACCAGCACTTGTGGATAGAACTGTTGGCAGTCTTAAGAGAATGACAAATCTTCTTTCTCAGGTTAAGGAAGTTCTATTCCTAATTTGCTAGTAAATTTTTCATGTTTTAATCATGAATGGATTTTAAATTCTATCAAACACGTTTTCTGCATCTAATGAGATAAACATACCATTTTTTCCCTTTAATCTGTTTATAAGGCAAATTACAGGTTTTTGTATGTCAAATCATCTTTGCATGACTAAGATAAATCAATTTTTTCGGTCATTACGGATTATCCTTTTTTATAAATACTGCTTTTGTCTTTTTAATATTTTTTAGAACTTTCACCTCTATGTTAAACTGGCCCATAATTATCCTTTCTCATACTGTTCTTATAGGTTTTGATATGTTTGTGATAGCTTTGTATAAGTTGGGAATATTCCCACTTTTTCTGTATTTTGAAACAGCTGTGTAAGACTATACTTGATCTTAGCCAAAAGGCTGAAAAGCGATAGAAACAGCTGTGTAAGACTAGATTTACTGGTTCCTCCAGTAAAAACGCTGGGCTTCTCTTTTAGGGAAGATTTTAAACTATAGATTTAAAATATTTTATGACGATAGAGCTATGCAGATATTTTATATTTTGAGTCAGTTTTGGCAAGTGGTAATTTGTTCATCCACGTTTTTATATTTATGTGCAAAAATCTGTCATAATATCCTCTTTAAAAAAAAAAAAGATTTATTTATCTGAGAGAGAGAGAAAGTGAACGTGTGCGCCAGCAGACTGAGGGGGAAAGGGAGAGAGAGAATCCCAAATAGATTCTCCACTGAGCGCGGAGCCTGCTTTGGGGCTCGATCCCAAGACCCTGAGATCATGACCTGAGCTGAAACCAAGAGTTGGCTGCTTAACCAAATGAGCCACCCAGGTGCCCCAATATCCTCTTCTTTTAATGTTTGCAGCATGTTTAATTATATTTCCTTTTCATTTCTAATTTTCTTTATTCCTACCTTCTTTCCTTTTAAAATTGATCTTGCCAAAGGTTTAATTTTATTAATCTTTAAAAGAGTCAAATATTGCTTTCTTGATTCTCTGTATTAAATGTCTTTTGTTTCATTAATTTCCTTTTACTTTTTTTGCTTTATTATGCTAGTCTTTTTCTAGCTTCTTAAGTTGAATGCTTAGCTTATACATTTTCATCTTTTTTTCCCCCAGTATAACCATTTAAGGTCAAATGCTAACCATCTAGGTTGAATTTCTGCTTACACTTACTAGCTGTACGACCTTGGGCAACTTCTGTGTCTTAATTTACTCCTATGAGAAATGTGGAGAAGAGTAATACCGACCTATATCACAGGGTTAATGTAAGGATTCAATAAAGAAGACACTTAGAACAGTGTCAGTCCCAGAGAAAGCTCTTAATAAACCCTAGCTAATATTAATATATCTTCATTTATGAATCAGCAAACAGCTACTGACCCCTGATATGGCTGAGGAGGAGTCTGTTAATTTACACTACCCCCCACCACTCTCCATTTCTCAGTGTTGATATTTACTGGTTAATCTACTTAGCACTTTTATAACTTAAAAATATACTTAATCTAGTATTTCATTTTTCACAAACATTTGACATTTGCAACTCTAAATTTTTTTTCTCTTTTTATTTTGAACACTTTCAAACCTGCAGAAAATCTGACTAAGTCGCAGACACTGATGCTTTCACCCCAGATAGTTCATCACTATTCTACATAACTACCATGCCAACACCAGTACCAAGCTACAGACATTTAACACAGCCACAAAGTATTACTTAATATAGAGTTCATATTAAAAAATGTCCCCCCTAGTGTAAATACTGTCCTCAATTAATAGCTTTTTTTCTGATCCATGATCCAATCAAGGGTCACAC